CCCCAAAACCCCAAAACCCCAAAACCCCAAAACCCCAAAACCCCTTTTTTTTGCTCAAAATAGAAATAAAAAATAGCGTTTATTAATAATTATTATATCTAAAAAATGGCAACTCCAGCAGATACACCAGCACAAGCTCCAGCTCCAGCCCCAGAAGGTGCTGCCCCAGCTGAAAGATCCGGCTTTAGAGGCGGATTCGGAGGAGGCAACAGAAGAAGAGGTGGAAGAAGAAGATTCGAAGACGAATGGATCCCATGCACTAAACTTGGAAGATTAGTTAAAGCCGGACATATCAAGTCTTTGGAAGAGATCTACACTCATTCCTTGCCAATCAAGGAGTACCAGATCGTTGACCACTTCGTCAAGGAACTCAGCGATGAAGTTATGAAGATCATGTCAGTCCAGAAACAGACTAGAGCTGGTCAGAGGACTAGATTCAAGGCTGTCATTGCTGTTGGAGATAGAAATGGACATGTAGGACTCGGCGTTAAGGTCGCTAAAGAAGTTCAAATTGCTATCCAAGACGGACTCAAGGATGCCAAGCTCAACCTTATCCCAGTCAGAAGAGGATACTGGGGAAACAAGATCGGAGATGTCCATACCGTTCCATGTAAAATGACTGGAAAATGTGGATCTGTCAGCATTAGATTAGTCCCAGCCTCTAAGGGTGTAGGTGTTGTCGGAGCTCCAGTTTCAAAGAAATTGCTCCACTTCGCTGGTATTGAGGATTGCTACACCTCATCCACTGGTCAGACCAGAACTAGAGAGAATTTCTTGAAGGCTACTTATAATGCTTTGAAGAGATATTATGGATTCTTAACCCCAGACTTGTGGCACGTTAGAAACACTGATGCTTCGCCAATGGATGTTCACTCTAAATTCCTCGAGACCTGGAAAGATGAATTTGAAAAGAAGAGAAGAGCCGGTAGAGGCAGAGGTAGAGGCAGAGGCAGAGGAAGAGGTCGCGGAAGAGGTGGTCCAAGAGGTGACAGAGGTGCCTCAAGAGGCGGAAGAGGAGGCTATAACGCTCCAGCTGCTGAAGGACAAGAGACCCAACAGCCATCCACCGAAGCCAGTCAGCAACAACCAGCTGAGACTACTCAATAAGCTTCATTCTCAATCATTCAATTGTAAAAAATCTAAAAGGGGTTTTGGGGTTTTGGGGTTTTGGGGTTTTGGGGTTTTGGGG